TGCCCAGGGAGGCTGTGGAGTCTCCTTCTCTGGAGATACTCAACACCCACCTGGACAAGGTCCTCTACAGCCTGCTCTGGGTGACCCTGCTTCGGCAGGGGCCTGGGCTGGGTGACCCACCTCTTCCAACCCCTACCATTCTGCGATTCTGTGATTCTGTAATTCTTGCGAGTTTGCAGCTGCCCGGCAGAAATAAAGCAAGAGGCTGCGACAGCGCTGTGCCCGCAGGCTCAGCCAGACGCACAGCGTAAGGGCGGAAGGTTACTTTAGCATTCAATAAACAGCTGAAACCATTTTTAAAATATCTGAATCTTTAAATCTTTGAACTTCTAACTGGCAGGGGTGACTGGACTGTCACCTCCATCTTGCCCTCCCACTCTAGGAAGCGTCCCCTCGCCAGTGACCAGTTCTCCAGGTCCTGACCCAGTTGGTGCGGTCTCAGCTCTTCCAGTGGGCTGGAGGGGAATTCGCTCCCATCTCTTTTGAGATGTTTCGTACTCACTTAACAACGGAATTAGGCATTGATGTATAATGTACCCCAGCACAAGCCTTCAATGCAGCCTTGCGACATCGCTTTCAGCCACAAAAAGGATGACAGCAAGTTAAATGGCACCTCCACCTCTCCGTACCCTTTCTATGTCATGCGAGTCCAGCATTGCTGGAAGAAAGACTTTGAAAGAATAAGGGCAGCAAAGCCGCTCTGGGGGGGCCGACAGAGCGAAAGCGATGGGTTCAGATGTTTCAGTTGTGCATTTTAAAGTGGAGAAGCAGCATGAGATTCCTCCCGGGAACAGCTGACGGGTCAGGGCACAGATGCCCCTCCCTCGTGCCAGGGACAAAGATTTTTCCTGCCTCCTCCAGCACCAAGAAAATGCAATTCAAGCACCAGCAGTGCTGCTTAGCTCCCATCTGCCAGGGCAAAGGGGCTCTGGAAGAGGGAAGGTCAGTGTGCAGAAGAGCAAGGCAATCCCCTGGCGGGCGTGTGGCAGTGCCTGCCCCATCGACGCGAGGTCCATCCCTGCCTGCCCAGGCTGTCCAGGGCAGATCTTTGCTCTGGGTGACCCAACTGGGCTTTGCTTGTGGCCGTCACATCAGTGAATCACCAGCATCATACAGCTCATGGTGCTTAGTAATCATGCGGATTGGCAGCCTGTGCCTTTCCCAAGGTTTGGGGTTTTCTTTTCCCGTTCAAAAAGCCAAAAGCCACCAGCCTGCCTGTGAACAAGCCAGTCATGCAAAAGCCACAGAGCAGCGACAGGGGAAATGGTAAGAAGACAACAGGAAAAATGTCTCCTGACGTTACAGAAGGATGTAGGATCTCTGTGGAGGTCCCCACTGCTTCCCTACATTTGGCATTCCCACCAAAACCAGAGGAAGAGCAGTAGAAAGCAGCAGAAAAAACCCTCGCCTGCATAAAAAATTCAGTTGTGGAGAAAAAACGCCATTTTTGGAGGGAAAATAGTATCGCTGTCCGGAAATTTGGGGTGGAATCTGCTTCAGAGCACTTGAGCGGCTCAGGTCCGGCCGTGTGGCCCACGTCTGCAGCGGGATCGCACAGCTGGGGGCTGGCGCAGCCGTGCCGACGCACAGTTCTGGGATTCAGAGCTGAATTCTTGAGATAAGTCTTTTCCAGGAATGTCTGACAGCGCAAACGAAGCAAAGATTGCAACATTTTTTCCATAGTTCTCGGCCTCTTGGAAAAAAGAAAAGGCATTATCTAACAAGCAAACGCAGAAATCGAAGCAACAAGCAGGCAGTTGTAAAAGACGCAGAAGTGGGCATCTGCCCCCGACCCGGAGTTTCCTCCTCCCTCCCTGCGCCTGCTCCCACCAGGATGGCTCAGCCCTCACCTACACCGGGGTTCACTCAGGGCCAAGAGGAATTTGGGAGGTGGGAGCTCGGCCTCCGCTGAGGCCAGCCCCATCCCGTGCCCAAGGTCTGCAAACGTCCCGGGGAGCCGCAGTCCCGTGGTCAGCCCCTGGGTTGTTTTGCTGCTTCTTCCATCCCCGTGGGATATTCTATAAAATTAGGAGCACAGTCCCAAACCCGCCCCAGTGTTAAACGCAAGCAAGTCTTGCTGGGATCTGGTTTCAGCAAGTTCAGCTTCCCGTTGGGCATCCAAATAACGGTCATCTAAACAAAAGCGTCCCTGTGCGGCAGAACAGCGGGCGAGGGGAGGCTCACCCGTCCCCACCGCGCCGAGCCCAAGAGGAGCAGCAAAGCACAACGCAATCCCATGCCCAACGCACGAGACCCAGCCCTGCAAAATTCCCATACTCCGAGCACTGAGTACCACTCCTTTTCCAAAGAGAGAGGAAGAAATAACTGCACCACAGCGGCCACTGCGATGGCCAGAGGAAAAACTGCCTCTACGTCAAGACCAAGTTCTGCCAAAATTCCCGAACGAGGATTTCTTGCTCTCAGCCCGGAGCAGACCTTGGCACGCTGCGATTAACCGTTAAGCACCGTCCTTGGCACAGGCACAGAGAAACCAATTCTTCAGGCTTTCTACGAGCCAGTGTAGCGTGCACAGCCTGTGTTTTGAAAGAGATTTAAATGCAAACGGTTTGCAGCATTTGGTATAGGAACTTTCCTATTTTTGAAAGTAAGCAGCTGCCTAGCAAAGAGTATATGAGGAGCATAACAAGGGCGAGGCAGGAGACGCACGTGAGCCTTGGAGGTGGCCCTGCCACAGCATCCATGCCCCATGTCCCCGCTGTCACTCTGAAAAGTGGGGGACTGCAGCTCCCCTGGCAGCGGGACCACGGGGCGCAGAGATGGGTGGCGGGGAGGCAGCGTGCAGGGATCCACTGGAAAGGATGCTGCGTGGTATTTTTAGTCTGTTTTTACTAAAGGATTTTAAAAAGCCTCGTGTAAGCCTAGGAAATGTCTTTTGATTTTGTGTTCCTGCAGCACCGGTGAGCTCTGGATCCCGCATCCAGGGTCCCACCAGATGAAGACTGGTCCTCAGCAGCACTGCTCCCACACCCCTGCTGCAGGGCAGAGGGGACAGAAGCTTCTGCCCAAGCAAAAACTCCTTTTCCTGGTGCCAGAGCAGAACCTTCACATAAGTAAGAGCAGGCAGAGAGCTCTTGAAGACTCTAGCGCAATGCACCTCTACTCAAAGAGCAGCCCACTGGGGCACTTATGATCCAAACTCAGCTGCCTGACCGTGTTTTTAGCAGGGCCGTCTTGAATACAGCCCTTTTCATGATAAAAATTAGTCACTGAAAGGATCCAGAGGGAAGCTTCTCTTTGAGCAGCTTCTGGGAACAGGGGGGCAATACAGACTCGCAACACCCAGCAGGACAGTCCGACGTGGAGGAAATCAGCCCGGTCGCAGCTTGGATGAGCCCCTCTCAACACTGACAACTCCCCGACACGCAGCACCCTGCAAACACCCAGAAAAAGCAGTGTGGGTTTGAAAAGCAAAACGTTTGGGGTGGCTTTACAGCCCTCGGCTCTGGGACTCTGGGGGGGGAGGGAGGGCAATCCCTGCCTTTTCTTTCAAAGCGCAAGGTCAGCAGTTTTGGAGCATGCGTGAATGGCCGTGAAGCAGCCTGAGAGACTCGCGGCCGTGGCTTCGCTCCCACCCAAACCAGAGCCTGGGCCCACGCAGGGAAACACGCCGCTGCCTTCAGCCCAGGGAAGAGAAGAGGGAGAGCGAGCATCAGCGTCCACCTCCCCACGCGGGACACCCACGACAGTTTTGCACCCAGCAGGCTGGGGATTAGAGGTGACCGGAATCTCCAAGAACCTCTGACAGTATCCCATGACCACAAGACCCCTTGAAAGCATTTCGTGCTCTCCACTGCGACCGTTCCCGCTTTGCCGAGACCACGCGGCATCGGTTTGCTCCTGCGCCAGGACCGAATTTCCGGCGTAGCGTGACTGTGCTCCCAGTGACACCGGCATGATTCACAGCTGGTTTCACTGGGAGAATCTGCTTCCACGGGAAAGTGAAAACCAGGCTGACTGAACACAAGCGCTGGACACAGCACCACTGGCATTAGCCCTGTCTTCTGGGGAACCCGAGGCACGGGCTTGCCTGACCCCCACGCACAGATTTCCTGTCGCTGGTACCGCTAGGCGCCCTGGCAGCTCCGCGTCGCGGCGGCTCAGCAAGCCTCCTCCCCTGCTGACCTCAGCAGCCAGCTCGCCGGGCGCTGTCACCCGGCGTGACATCATACAGCCCGGAGGTGTCTCGTCAGCCACACAAGATGGGCTGGCGCCCCGGGGGCTGCTTTCGGCAGCGGGACGAGGCAGGGGCTGAGGGCTCAGCGCATCCCACGCCCAACGCTCGATAGCGAAGCGCAGGTCGAGGGGCACGTCCGAACACTCAGCCTGTCACCACAGAAAAAAGCAGGGCAGCTTTCTAGACAGGGGACAGGGTGTCTTCTGGACACAGGCTGTCCTCGGGGCACCACGTGCAGCTTTAAAACACTCTCACAAGTGGAGCAAGAGGGAGGCGTGCCAAAAACAGCCCCTCCGCTCCCAGCAGCGAGCCCTGCTCCAAGGACTGCCTCGCCTTCGCACATCCAAGGGTAATCGAAATCAGCTAATGACAGAAGACACCGAAACGCGCTCGAGCCGGTCACCTCCGCTGCAGCTGAGTGTGCCGAACACCCCGCCGCGGTGCTGCCAGGCGCTGCACC